CTTCTTTAACCTTGCTTTTAAAATGGCCTAATGGGTTTGGATATGGCAAGGACATTTTCTAGTAGGCAGGGAGCTCTGGAGTGGGGGTGGGGAGTGGAGGAAGAGGTGTGTGTGTGTGTGTGTGTGCGCGCGTGCGCGTGTGTGCGTGCGCGCCATCCTGATTTATGATAATGAAAATGTGCCTATTAGCACTTCAATAAATTAAGCCATTTGCCTTGCCCTCTGAGAGTTGTTTCGCTCCCGCCTAGGCTTTTAACACCACCTTTCATTCTCACGCAACTCCAACCATGCTGGATAGTGCACTCTCCGTCTTGGGACCAGTTTAATCTATCTCACAGGGGCCCCTGTGACCCACTGGCCTGGCAAAGATGAGAAAATAGAAACTTACAAGGTAACACTGCGCTCTCACATCAGAAATCACATTGCGTGCAACCTCTCTCAGGAGCACTACAATTCAAACATTGCACACCAGATATTTAGAAACACAATCTTGAGCTCAAGTTTAGGATGTGAAACCTGGCACAGAGGACTCATAAACAAAACAAATGGTATTATTTGTGTGTTGCCAGCCTACATTAGCTATGTTAAATGCATGTCAGAAGTGATTTCTGAGTTACCTTTGCAGGTCAGGGCAGAAGTATATTTGTCAAAGTAATCAGAGTGCAAAGCGTACCTTGCAAGCTGCCTTATACTGAGTCCGTCTAGTGCAGCAGCATCTGCACTGACTTTAAGCATCTCTCTGAGGATTTAGATTGATGTCCCCCTCAGCTCCACCTGGAGATGCTAGGGATATAAACCTAAGACCTTCTGCCTCCACCACTGAGCTTTTCCCCTAAACAGGATCATAACCAGGTTTCATGCAGTACTGGCTTTAGGATTTTGGGAACCCTTAGACAGAAGCAACAGTGGGCCCCTTTAATATGGAAGACAAGGTGAATGCTGTTAGACTGTATCTGTTCTCATAAACTGTGTGTAAAATGGAAATATGAGCAACATTGGGGTAGTGAGTGCCTCTTCTAGAGTCAATGAGTCCTTATCTCAAGGATCCAAACTGTGAGGAGAAAAGCTCCAATTCCTGTCCTCCTAGCATCCTGTTTTTGTCATCAGCTGGAGATGTTGGTGAGCCACTGCCAATTGCAGGAGATCAGCCTTCTTCAGCCTGGTTGTTTGTATTACAAGGCCCATCAACTCCAACCAGCATGCCAATGGTTGGGGATGATGAGAGTTATTGTCTAAAGGGAAGGTTGGTGTAGATAGTTCTGGACTCACTATATAACACCTTCATTTCTTCATGTAGTTAGGTATATCCTATGACCATCAAGTACATATGACACTTCCTGGAAATCTACTTAATTTCTCTTTGTGCATTTATTATCAGTGGAAAGAATATAGCAACAACCACTTTCATCATTATGATTATCTTATTTTGAAGGTGTGAAATCTAACATGCACCAGAAAGTGAGTCAGTATATAACACTGTGCATAAGAACTCCCAAAAGCAATTTAACATTGGGGTGAATAGGGATTAATCAAGGCTCTGACAAAATCTTAAATGGGTGCCTCTTAGAATTACAATGACAGAAGCAAAAATTAAAAATGGATAAAGTTGCTCTCCAAATATTAGACCTGGATTTATAGAAAATTAGTTTTCCACCTGTTAGTTTTTCGAGGTGGGCATTTCTGCTTTGTTAGTAGAAATGTGTTATGTTCTTGTTTCAGGCTTATTTCTCATTTAGTTCTTGTCAATCTGGCTTTAATGAAAAACCCATTGCAAAGTATGGTATTCACAATGTGAGTGTTTCAAGTTGTACTATTTGGATGTGCAAAACAGCCAATACAGTAGACATGTATATCTTCATGGATTTCTAGAGTTTGCTTTCTGGAAGTGTTCGATGGCTTTTACTAGTGGCCACCACCTATTACACATACCTGTATGCACCCGTTAGAGTAAGCACCAAAGAATCAAGCTGTGTGCACAACATATATTTAAAGCACGTGAAATCCCAGCAAGAACCCAGGGAACTGTGGTTTGTTAATAGTGCTGAGAGTTGTTAGAAGATCCCTACTCCCTTCCCAGAGCTCCAATTCCCAGAGTTCCTGGGAAGAGGGAATGATTATTAAACTGCTCTGGGAACTGTAGCTCTGTAAGGGGCTCTCAGCACCCTTTACAAACTACCATTCCCAGGATTCATTGTGGGAAGCCATGACGCTTTAAAGTGGAACAAAAGGTAAAGGTACCCCCGACCATTAGGTCCAGTCGTGGACGACTCTGGTGTTGCGGTGCTCATCTCGCTCTATAGGCTGAGGGAGCTGGTGTTTGTCCGCAGACAGCTTCCGGGTCATGTGGCCAACATGACTAAGCTGCTTCTGGTGAACCAGAGCAGCACGCAGAAACGCCGTTTACCTTCCCGCCAGAGTGGTACCTATTTATCTACTTGCATTTTGACATGCTTTCGAACTGCTAGGTGGGCAAGAGCTGGGACAGAACAATGGGAGCTCACCCCGTCAAGGGGAATTGAACCGTCAACCTTCTGATCGGCAAGCCCTAGGCTCTGTGGTTTAGACCACAGTGCTACCTGCATCCCTTAAAGTTCAGTTGCACAGTGCAGGTGCATGTCATGCTTTACTAAAGAATGTTCATATCTTGTACTCCCTGGTACGGCATTCCACCTTAAAAATGTGAAATGGCCACTGGTGTCTTCTCCCAAATTCAGACATAACAGCAATCTTAGATAAATGACGGTAGATGATTCCCTGATGGGTAGGTGATACAGCCCACAAAATGGACTAAATTCAGGGAAATGCTCACAATGTGAACATTTTTCACATGTTCTGTCCTAGACTCAGGAGCAGAATTGTTCCCTGCAGGGTAGTGTTCCAGTGCTCAGCTCAGTCTCGCTATATAAATGTCTTAAGTGATGCAACTTCCCTTGAAAGATTAGTCCTCAGCCTAATAGAGCCATCATTAAGATTTTCATCTTATATTTTCATTGTCTTAATTTGGAGTTTCATGAAGCAACTCATCGAAATCCAAGCGCAGTAAATCACTTTGGCCAGATGGTATTCATAGGGGGTTTGGAAAGAAATAGAGTACAAAACAGTAAGGGTAGTGACAGTAATAAATAATCAAAAATAGCAGCTGTTTCTTTAAAAGTGGAACATCTAACCTGGTTCCTGTTTCAAAGAAGAAGAAAGCATTGAGGGAAAGAGCAATTTCAGAAATGACTGCTTTACGAGCCTCATATCTGCTCCCGGTAAACTTGCAAGGAATCAAAATCACTTAGGTTGGACCGAAGAGGTCATATTTTTTAAAAAAATAATAATAATAAATTTTAAAAAATCTCCCGCCATGATGCTTCACATCAAGGGATTTATGTGTGCTCATGACAGCACATTCTTCTCTAACATTCTCTGCATTAATGAAGGCTACTATGCTTTGCAGTTCTGGGATCAAAAGTATAATTTGCCAAGCCAGCTAACCTTTTCCTAGATGGTGAGATTCTATCTATATAGCTCATCAGGATTGTCTCCTCATCCTAGTGCATGGAGTTTGAGAGGGTTTCTTTTTGTCTCCTGCCACTATCCTTCTTATAGTTGGTGGGGGTGAGGGGCAGGCTGTGTGGAGGTTTCTGTGAATGAAACTTGTAATGTCAAATTGAAATCATGGTGTCATGGGCCCAGAAAACCCTGATCCAGTCCAGATGCATAGGACTGGGCACACATCCCTTTGATCTTACTGGAAGAGGTATCCCTGTGCTTAGCTCTCTCAAGTTGAAATCAAAGGAGTTAATACTGCATAACTCTTAAGAGAATGAGCCCTTTGATTTTAGTGAGTTTTCGGTGAAGTTCAAGAAATGCCTGTGCATTTCTCAAATAGGCAGTTGGTATACACATCTCCACCTCAAAACTCACACAGAAGTCTATTGGAAAATTGTCACCTGAACAACGAAAAGCTCTTCCCAGCAATTCCTCTGGCTTTGGAATTTTCACCAAGGTTCTAGTATAACTTTGCAGTCATAGGGACTAGAAACGTACTTTGACAAAAGTATTCTCAGGAAGCCAGATTCTGTCCTTTCTTTGTGTTCTTGTGGAACTGTGACATGCAGACTGCTGTGATCATAAGACATTGCTCAACTGGTCCTTTCATCAATGGGGCTCTTTTTTTTCGAGAGGCAGATCTTTGGAAGAGGAAAGTGGAAGTCATCACTGCTATGCAGCCTGTGAAGATCTGATACAATCACAATCTCATGTGTGAGCCACCAAAGTGCTACAGTTAGGAATAAAAAATGGTGCCTTTTTAATTGTCCTAAAGGACAAGTCCATATATTGGTGAACAAACCTCCTACAAGATATCCCACAGCTCCAAACTAAACTTGCCAGTTTATCAGCAGAGAACTGGGTCATCATAACCCTGTCCCTCCTTACAAGAAAGGAAAGACCATCTCCTTCTTTAAGGTAATCATCATGATCATAATAATTATTAATAAAAGAGAGCTAAATTGCAGAAACTAGGCTGAACAACTCACCCACTTTCAAAAGTCTGATGGAAAAGATCAAAAAGCTGCAGGCGTGGCTAACAACATAAAAGAAAACTTCAAACTGGCCGTCTGCACTTTTCCTTTTTCTACATTTGTATCCCATCCTTTCTCCATGGAGCAAAGCATGGCAGCAAACCCTGGGCTTGTTGGCCCATTTTCTCTTAATAACACTGTAAATTAGGTTAGGAATTCACCTTTCTCAGAAATGAAGTTACAAAGTCAGGGTTGGCGTTGTGAAGTCATTCTCCACTCCCAACTCACACACATTTATTTTTATCAAACAAGGCGATAGCCCAGTTGGTTAGAGTGTGATGCTGATAACACCAAAGTTCCAGGTTCAATCTCCATATGGGATAGTTGCGTATTTCTGCATTGCAGGGCATTGGATCAGATGAGCCTCAGGGTCCCTTCCAACTCTATAGTTTTATTATCCTTCTATGATCTTATTTGTTTAGGGGAAGAGGGCCATCGGTTTGTGGCAGAATATCTGCTTTCCATGCAGAAGGTCCTGGTTCAAGCCCCGGGGATCTCCAGGTAGGACTGGGAGAGATGGCGAGACCCCTGTCTGAAATCCTGGGTAGCCACTGCCAGCCAGTACTTGCGACACTAATCTATATGGACCAATAGGCAATATAAGGCAGTTTCCAAATTTTCTGAAACACGTGCTGGTCAGAGATGAAGATTACTGACACAATGACCCTTTTTCCTGTCTAGGTATGTTCTTTTCTGCAGAGCTCAACATCTGGAAAGTGTTTGTTTATTCCTATTTGTTTCCTATTCCACCTTTCAGGGAAAGTCCATAGCTCAGTGGTGGAGCATCTGATTTGTATGCAGAAGGTCTCAGATTCAATCTTTGGCATTTCCAAGCAGGACTGAGGCAGACTTGCATCTGGAACTCTGGAGAGCTGCTGCTAATCAGCCTATACAATGCTGGACTGTTTCTTAGGTCCTCAAAAGAGCCTCCAATGAGATATCTGGAGGTATGAGATATATTGGCCAGCCCATTCAGTGAGTTTCATTGCTGAGTAGGGTTTCGGACCCATGTATCCCCAGTCATAACTCAACACTAACCACTACATTCCACACCCAGTTTGAGCCCTCAGCCATATGTCTGAATGCTGAAGGGGGACTTTGTTTATTTATCTCCATGAAACTGGAGAGGAGACTACAATGCAAGCTCCAGGTGGGTTAAAACAGCTGTGATCACAGAATTTCAGCTATCTTCCTGCCACACGCAATTGATTTCCTCTCACTTGTAGCATCCAACACATCTTATGTTCCAATGACTTTCTGAGGACAAATGAAGTTTAAAAGCAAACCTCATCTCTGTGTAGTCATCATGAACTGTCTCCCAGATCACTGATGAGTGATGCCAGAGTTGACAGGCGTAACTCTGTCAAGTAGAGGGAAGGAACAGCAGTTCCATGCTCCTAAAAAGCCATGTTTACATAAGAATACAGGAAATGGAGGCTTTCTCCCATATGGATGGGGAAACACAATATTTCCCCTCCCCTCTTCTTCTTCTGATCGCATTTGAAATTGACTTTGAAATTCCTGTGATGATCCTGGGGCTTGATGCACCTGTTTTAAGCCTCCCCTCAAAGATGAGTGATGGATGGGCTGGGGATAAAAGCTGAAAGCAAGCAGGGGCCATGTGTTGCAATACTGAGGGGAAGGTACTCCAGGTGACAACAGCTGAGAATTGTATGTAAATGACAGTGGGGAAACAGTCTACCAGAAAAATAAAATAAATCATTCATCCACAAAAGCAATCCTATGAACAAAAGAATTACAATGTGCACGCAGGCAAAAACCTGAGTCGATGTTCATTTCTGTCCTTCTGGGCATTGTACTTTAAAGGTAAAGTGTGGGAGGATCTAAGTCATTTCTTGTTCATTCTGTTTATCTGATGTAATGGGATGTTTGTGATGAATCCGGCAGGATTTGGAAAAAGAACGTTGACTTCTGAGATTATTTGTCATCATTTCCCTCCTAACAAGCTTTAGAAGCTGTGACAGGCATTGCCTAATATATATTGGTAGTGTCACATTGCTAAAGGTGCTGATAAATATTTTAAAGATCCACATTAAAAATTGTTTGTTTGTTTGTTTGTTTTGCTTTTTGTTTTTTGCTTTCAGGATCTTAGGGAGGAATTCAAACCCAAAATCCACAAGTCTCCCAGTGCCACCTTATGAAAACTATCCTCAAGTAAGGCTACCACAAAATGGTATACCCAGCCACATCGCAGCAAGGCGACTCAGAAGGATTACCCAGGTCAATAGTAGCGTAAGCCAGTAGAAGCAACAAGGACACACTCCAGCTATCTAGCTCCCAGTGAAGATCTTTTAGTATGCTGTCCTCAGACCATTCTCACTTCTTGATGCTGCCATGCTCTGTGAACTTTTCTATACTACGAGAACTGGACAGCTATTGGCATCGAACCAATTGCTGGAAGAAAGCCACAGATCTGGGACACGGACACACACACACACAGAGAGAGAGAGAGAGAGAGAGAGAGAGAGACTCATCTTTCACATTCATAATTGGACCTTAACTTCCAACAACAGACAAATATGGCAGAAGCTCATCACACTCTCCAGGTTTCAAAGGCGCTGGAGAAATCTTTAGTTATAAAGGGGGGGGTGGAGATAAAGACTTCCAATATAGGGATTATTTCATGTGAAAAGAAAACACTGTGCTTTTTCTCCCCTGTTTGTAGATAAAACATTAGTGGATAAAATAGAGGATCATATTCTTCTTTTGAAAAACTTACTACTTAGAGATTTGAAGAAAAATCAATGTGACATTTGAATACACTTTGAAGTTCTTTCGCAGCTTGAAACTTCACAACTTTTGTCTCTTCCTTTTTTTATCAGCTGTATTCATTACATTTCCATATAAAGCAGCTTGCTTGTTAAATACCATCTCTCCATTTTCTCACTCTTCCCCTCCCGCACTCCCTTCTTCCTCGCTGTCACGGCGCTCTCCATGAAAACCAAACACTTTTTTCTTTCAAAGGTAGCAACGCATCGTTCAATTAAAGCCCTTGCCTTTGTAAAGATGGATAATAACTTTGATCACTGCATTTGTGTAATTAAGGGACAGGCCTCTGGTTTAAAGGGGCAACACTTTCGCCTTTGAAACCTGGAGAGTGTGATGAGCTTTCTGCAATGCTCACACTGTTGGAAGGAGCCAATCTCCTCTGGTGTCACATCTATCTGTGTCCCCCAGATTGCTCGTCCGCTGTCCCAATGACAATGATTAGCCAGACCGCCTGCTGGCTGCAGATGGAATGAGGCAGAGCGATAAGGCAAGCAGCCTTTCTCTCATGCTTCAGATCAGCAGAGGGAGAGCATTTCTTCACAGGAAGCCCATGTATAAGCCGTTTATACTTATACTGCAGGAAATATTGGGGTAATTACCAAACACAGGGAGGTGGTCTCCCACTATCAATAGCATTAAGAATGGATTTGAAAATTCACTCACCAGATTAATTGATCCTCTCTCTCTCGTCTTTTTGAAATTTATTCTCAGGGCTCCAAGTTGGAGGGGCAAAGTGTATCGAGGAGTGATATTCTCATTACAGCACCACATATTTGCTACCATCTTAAGCCGGCTTTCTTCTTCCAGATCATTATTCAGAATTTTAGCAATAATAACTGAGGCCGGGCAAACTTATTCCCCGCAGTAATGTCAAACTCAGCTGAAAGACAAGATGAGAAACCCCTTCCCAGCCCTTATCTGATGGCTGGCAAGGGCTCTGATCACGGCGGAGAAACATTTATGCCTTTCCTCTTTGTTCCGTCTGGCTTTCCAAAACAGGCCATTTAGAATGGTAAGTTTTGCTAAATCTAAACAAGTTTCCAGAGCGCTGGAGCAGGAAGAAGCAACCAGACATTCCCCTTGGGGATATGTGTTGGCTCCTGGCCGGCCGGCCCAACAGGTCATTGAAGTGGAACACCAGCAAAATGACAAGTTTCTTGCTGGGGAGGGTGGGGGGAGAGATTTGAACCAATCTTTCTTTCTCTGTGTTCTTTGTATTTCCTGCCCCCCCTTCACCCCACCAGCTGGCAAAGTGATGCTTGAAGAGATGCTTGTCAAACATGCCAAGGTCAAGAGAAGTAGCAGGAACTTAGAAGGACTTTGGCTGGCTCTGTCCATTCATGTGCATCTTAAACACACAGAGTGGCTTGTATAATTGCATGTTCCTTGAATACAATGAGTTCAGTCTTTCCTCTTTTGCAAATTAAGCAACTAATGATTTATTTTATATACAACACCTAGCTACTGTAGTTGCTTGATGAATGTGCAGTATTTTTTTATTAATAACTCCTTTATGACGCACATGGGCATCATGAAGAGAGAGGAAGTATAAATCAACAGTTTAAACTTTTCCTCCATCAGGTGTAACACAGGAGTGAAAGAAGACTCCTTTTTTTTTATTTATTTCTTGTTTCTCTGGTTTTCTGGTGGTTTTACATAGTGTATCAAATGTTAATATATTCTATCAATCCCCACCCCGCACATGTTATGACCTAGTTACTGTATGTATATTTTTTATATGTATGTTTTTAAATGCAAATTGTTTGGATACCTTTTAGGTAACAAAAACTAATGGAGTTTAATAAATTAGATAGAATAAAATTTTTGAAATATATTTCATGTCAAGTAATTATTCCTGAAAGAAAGAAAAAAGATGGCAAACACCTGTAGCCTTTTCTTTCCTATTTTATACAACTCTACTATGGGACCAGCCCCTGCTCCCCAGTAACTCTACAGTTAAAGAGGTACCCTGCATCATTCACATGGGGCATAGTGATGTGAAAAATTCAGGATGCATTGCCTCCCACCCAGTATTCACTTGCAGTCTATTACCTTTTTGGACTTGGCCTCCTGGTGAGGCAGTGTTAATGGTAAATCCAAATGCTAAAACTGGGTTTCATTTCAAGTCATTCAGGTAAGCCAGTGCTGGAAGGGCCATCCTTACCATTGGGCAGAGAAAGAACCTAAATATATATGACACCCAAGCTGTTGCTTAAATTACATCAGGATTTTTCATTCACGTAATAGGAAGCCACCTCATACCAATCAGACCATTGGCCCGTCTACTTTTGTATTGTCAACACACACTAGCAGTGGCTCTCCAGGATTTTGGACTGAGGTGTCTCCCAGTCCTACCTGAAGATTGAACCTGGGGCTATGGGGCTATCCTCAAAGAATTTACCTTCCAACCTGTAATCCCAATCTCGCAGACATATGCACACACACACTGCCATTACAGTGGTACCTCAGGTTACATACGCTTCAGGTTACATACACTTCAGGTTACAGACTCTGCTAACCCAGAAATAGTGCTTCAGGTTAAGAACTTTGCTTCAGGATGAGAACAGAAATTGTGCTCCGGCGGTGCGGGGGCAGCAGGAGGCCCCATTAACTAAAGTGGTGCTTCAGGTTAAGAACAGTTTCAGGTTAAGAACGGACCTCTTGAACGAATTAAGTACTTAACCCGAGGTACCACTGTACTAATATGGGGGGGGGGAGAGAGAGAGACAGACTCCCATTGACCTCCTCTCAGCCAACTTGCAAAGAGAAGGTTTTCTTTTTCTACTTACAATGGGTGTGAGGGACTCTCCTGGTTTTTCAAGTACTCATAATCAAGAATGCTTGTGAAACCCAGATGGCTTTTTAGACGAGTCAAGAAGGATAGTCAGCTGTGACCTCATTACTTACTACAGGACAGGGAGGGAAATGCTATTAGGCAGGAGAAAAACACTGATTGACATCCCCCTCAATTTTTATATTGCACTTGAAAAGAATGAGATGAAGAAAATGGTGTTTGGATCCCCTTCAAGAAGTAAAATATTC